ATCGAAATTTTTTATTCTAAGAATAAAAAAGTCGATTTACTAAAAATATTTAAATTTCTATGTATTTTACATAGAGTGTTCTTATTAGGAACACTTTTTTTGCTTGCTGTTCTTATTAGGAACAGCGCTCCTAATAAGAACAAATTCAATTATTCGCAAACTACCACTAATTACTTAATTAGTTTACGAGATAATTAGATGATTTCTACATCATTCGATGCAGCAGACATTTCTGCACTCAGATATGTAAAAAAATTTTTTTTACCACGAGAAATGACTTAGTAGCAAAGAAATTACTCCGACCTCCAAAAAATCTGTTCTTATTAGGAACATTGACTGTATTTGAACTTGTCCCAATTGTCTTCATTATAGTCGAACAAAACTAAGTCATGATGATTTGATTCGTTGTATTAGTTCTTCTACTGATAGAAAATCCTTTTTTTTGGTTTTGTCTTTCGTTCTTATAGAATGTCATAATTGAATCAAATTCGTTTTCGAGAAGAGATTTTAAAAACAGAACGCCACAACATGAGAAGAAAGAAAAAGAAATGAAAACAACTGTTATCAAAACAACAAAAAAAAACGTGCTTATTGAAGAACAAAGCAAAAGCATACATTCTTTTTTTCTTTCGTTTGTCACCGATTTCTCAAGGATATTTTATATTCTTGATATACGAAATTTTTTTTATCAGAGACGAGAACAAAATTTCATCTTTCACACAAAAATTAAGTATCGTTCATAATAGAAATATCAGTTAAACAAATAATTTCTTTTCATAAGAAAACTCAAAAAATAAAAACAAAGAACTAGAGTATAAGTGACTACTGTATTGAATATCATCATCAATTGAGTATATATCATTGATTGGTGATTGAAAACCGAATTAGTGTGTAGGAGTGGACGTCATGACGTACTGCTCTTAACCCATAGCAACAGTCAGCGTCAGAGCCAGATCCTCACTCACATCCAGACAACAGTAATAGTCAGTTGCTTGTGCCTTTAACAAGAATTAAACTTAGAGATCTCTATTAGAAGTCTTTTCATCTGATACTATTGTAACAACTCTTGTGTTTATTATTCAAAAGAATGTCCCCTCTTCCACCTCGTCCACTCTTTATATAGCGAGCGGGAGAGAGAAAGAGAAAATATCCCATAATAAGAAAAGAAAGAGAACAACCATTGAGCATAAACAAAGGAGAGCAGAAGCATACAATAGACTCAGTGATGTAACCCTTATATAACATATAAGGTTACATTGAACACGATGAGTGATAGATATTCTTATATAACGTATGAGGTAACGACTGATGTTATAATAATGTTAGAACAGTCTATAGAAACAATCAACCAAAACAACAGTGACATTATGTAATGATAATACATAACAAGCTCAACCGGGACTGTCACAACTATTAAAGCGAAAATTATTTTGAAATCTATACTCCTTGTAAAAAATTCAAAAACATAGATGAAGATGTTATTTAATTTCAAGTAAATTTTGATGATGAGAAAATTGTGAGAAGTTAATCATCTGAAACGTACCTAGAACTGTGAAACTGAAGCAGATGTGAAAAATTGAATTTACATCAAAGTAGAACATCTTTAGGTTTTTTTTTGAATGTTTTACGAAAACGATTTGTTTTAGAAATCATCTTACAGATACAAAGTGTCAGATGAGTTATTGAAAATACAGAAATGCCTCCTTTTTCTTGGCCAGAAATTAGCTATTAGGTTTAACTCAAAAACGTAAACCATATCGTTGATTATGATCATCAGAAATCAAGCATGAATTTTACAGGGTGTCGGTGTGATAGAGAATAAACTTATGTTTAATTCTTAACCGTCAAATTTTCTAAACAAACGATGATTTTCAACATTTTATTTTATAAAAATCAATCAAAACACAGACAAAGTGTTGGCCAAGTTGTTAAACCTAAATAAAACACTTATCGAATAAAATACATTAAAATTGAAGTATCACATCGATTAACATTGATATTAATATCATCGCAAGATAATATTTAAAGATAAAATGAAAGCTTTTTCATAAATTACCCATATGATCATTTAATTTTTTATAATTTTTTTAATATTTTAGAACTGAAATTAAGATCTTATTGTGAATATAATAAATGACTATTAAAAATTAAAATTGATCAAAATAATATTCGTAATCTTCAATTGTAACCTTCAAAAAAAAATATGTTAATGTTAATCGAAATAAGATGTGAAAAAATGATTTCATCATCCTAAAAAGAAGTAGCAACAATATCAAATTATTAATCATTTTCAATAAAAAAAATATTTTGTTCATAAGTTTGTTGACGTTAAAGAGCAAATTTTTTTTTTCAAATAGAAATTCAATTATTCACATAAAATATCTATGAAATTTGTTAACTAGATTTTCCTTATGTAATCAAAGTTTTTTTTTAAGTTTAACCCTTTGAGTCCTGATATTTTTCTACCGAACTTAATTCGATGAAACTAACAGGAACGGTAGAGCTAGGTGTGCTGACGAAGTTCCACTATAGGACAAATTTTGGTGATCCCGTGTTTTTATCTCAGGGACGATGTAGAGTTGGGGAAAATTCGAGAGTAGGCTCTGAAGATGGCTTTGCCATTTGGCTTAGGAACAAGCTACAGACTTGGGAGTTTCAGCATTAGATAGTGGACAGTTAGTCGATTCTAGAGCACTAATAAAACTTAAAATTCTGTCTGGGCTTTATAGAGATATTTCAGCCCAAAAAACATGAAAAATTAGCATTTTCTGTAGGTTTTTTCACAAGAAACAAAACACTGAAAAAAACCATCCGTTACAAAAAATGATCATCTCAATGAGTGGCATCTATGGTAAAATTTTCAGACGTCTCGTATTTGTAATAGAGGAGCTAGATAAGGTCCAATTTGGCTGGGAGGTTCACCTTGTCCTCCCCGCTTGGACCTCTTCACAAGGTTTTCCATTTTTTCGAACCCACAGCTATGCTTACAGGTACGAGTCCTACAAGCCCTGAAAGTTTCATCCCATTCCGATGAAGTCGATGTAACCTCTGGTTCACTCTCGATAGAAGTACCCCCTCCTCCATGGGGTCAAAACTTCGCAAGGTGCATTTTTCAATGTCATCCATACACTCCATTATCCAATCAAAATTGTACGGACATCTGCTAGCTTCTAGCATTTATTGAAAATATTTCTCCAAGATTTTCAAAAACTCGAGAATTAGAAAATTTTCAAGGTGGTACATATGTGTACCACCGGGACTCAAAGGGTTAAATAAGCATTTACAATTATTTTATTTATTTGAAAAGATATACGATTAATTAGACTTTTTAATCTATATAATTTCTCTGAATTAAGAATTGTTTCATGAATATATAAAGTAAAACATTTATTCTTTTTATTTTCTTACGAGATATTAATATTAATGCACATTTAAAAACAGCAAGGCTGATAAGTATCTTTCGAAAGACTTTTGTTGTTTTTGCGCATCAATGTTAACATAATCATTACATATCCTAATAAAGTGTAAAAAAATATACATTTAAAATTTTTCTTTTTTCTATTCTTTATCTGTATTTTAATATATGCAGTGCATGAGTTATTACTCAAATTGTCGGCGAATCTATTGTTTTTATCCGCCGTTTTATTCAATCATCGTTCGTTTGCTAGAATGGCGAGTGCACGACATGCAAGCTATCCTTACACATTCGAGATGAAAACACAGACGAATTGAACATGAAATCTTTAAAGACGACAGAGATATCGTGCACTCAATTTTCCATTATTTGACAAACACCGGTTGTTATCATGCGCTGCGTATTATCATTCCGTAACGTCGTCTTTCATCGCGTCTTTCCGTTATCATACCTTTTCTTCTTTCCGTTTCTGCTTCTTCTCGTTCTTCATAACAGAAGAACAAAAATAATTTTCTAACTAATGGAGCTTTTGAGGGTGGCTCTAAAACAAATGAACCTTCCCAGGGATATCCGACGTTCTGTTGGTGACCCGTGCAGGCGTGCAGATGGTAGGCCTTCATAGCATACATCAATGTATGTACGAATAGAAGCGTCCATTTCGTCATCGTCTTTTCGAAGATGGTGATCATAGTCGTACTAGTCAAACATACATCGATGTGTGTTTGCCTAACCATTGCCGGGTTTGTCCACTGTACCAGCCAGCAAAATACGGAGGGTATCTCTGGTCGCGCGCGTGCGAAATTTTGCAGCTGCTTGCTTCGGCGAGCCTTAGTTTCAAGAAGGCCAATTTATTTTGTTTTTAAAATCAAAAAAAAAAACAATTACATCTTCTTTTTTACATCTTCAATGTTTCTTTCCGACTTCGCGATCAGGGGATGATTGAGTGGAAGTGATTTTTGCCGGATCTCAAGTCCTTTTTGCAGAAATGAAAGTGCTTTTGGGTACTCGCCCATGTTTTCATGTACCAAACCAATGTTGTTGTAGGTAATAGCCAAGTCTGGATGATTCGGAGGGAGAGCTTTCTTGGTAATCTCAAGATCTTTTTCATAATATGAAAGTGCTTTTGAGTACTCGCCCATGTTTTTATACACTATACCGATGTTGTTGTAGGAAGCAGCCAAGTCGGGATGATTCGGAGGGAGAGCTATTTTACGGATTTCAAGTGATCGTTCATATGATGAAAGTGCTTTTGAGTACTCGCCGATGTTATGATACACATTACCGATGTTTCCGTAGGAACCAGCCAAGTCGGGATGATTCGGAGGGAGAGCTATTTTCTTGATTTCAAGTGATCGTTCGTGCGATGAAAGTGCTTTCGAGTACTCGCCCATGCTATAATACACGATACCGATGTTGTTGTAGGAAGTAGCCAAGTTGGGATGATTCGAAGGGAGAGCTATTTTCTGGATTTCAAGTGATCGTTCATACGATGAAAGTGCTTTCGAGTACTCGCCCATGCTATAATACACCGAACCGATGTTGAGGTAGGAAGAAGCCAAGTCGGGATGATTCGGAGGGAGAGCTATTTTCCAGATTTCAAGTGATCGTTCATA